GACAGTTGTCTATTGTTTCACATTAATTTAGTACGAAGAGTAATAGCTGTTATTCAAAAAGAAATTATTTGAAAAATTTTCTAATCAAATTAAAAATATTCTCACTGCCAAAATTTAAGCGTTTTTTTAAGTTAAGCAGCTTTTTATGACAAAGTGCTTTTTAACATTGTCTAGTTGAGCTATTACCTATTCTCCTTATTCCACGTAGATCCAGTTACGCTCTTTAAACAAGAAATAAACTCGAATAGAAAAGCCTGTGAAGTGTGTAACCCCGGTTTAAAGGGCAACGTTTGTTGTACCATAAAGTCCCGTAAAATGAAAATGTTGAGCATGCGTTTTATTTTGAAACCACGACTTTATTTTAGTAGGACGTTAACCATCACAGTTTAATGACTTCTCCACAGCTTTTACGTTTCGAAACTAGTAGTAGCTTTTAAACTAGTCATAGAGCGGTAGCGCCTAAGAGTGCTTGTGAAAATAGGTCTAAACTGTGCCTACTTAAGATTTGCAAAGAAAAACGAAATGATTTTTAAATTTCTTATTGTTTTTCAATTTTACATAATTGCACGAAAGAAATGCAATAAGAATTTATTGCTAGCGTTTTTATAGGAAGCGAATATATTGGATATATTCATTTAGTTCCCACAGCTGCATTGTAATGCAGTCGTTAATTGTAATTAAGTGAAATTAATATTAAACATTTTTTTGAACTGTTGTGTTGTAATCCACATGCACTCAATCTTCCAGTTACACATAACGTCACTGATTTCCGTTTCACATTCAGTTTTTTTCCTCTTAGATTATCTGTTTAGTGAATGAAATGTAAATAAGTTTTTTTGTCTTTGTCTTGCATGGGATGGTTAATGGTTCCAGATGAAAGATTTCCATATAAATTCAATTTGTAGTTGTGTTATTTGTGCATGTATGTAATATATGAGAAATTATTTTACCTCCGCTCTGTTAACGTTGGTGTCTGCACGAAATCTGGACATCACCTTGGAAACTGTGAGAAATGTACAGTATGTCTTTTACTAAAATCTGAAATTAAACCATCGAACTACAATCATCTTTAAATAGATTTAATTATGAGTATTTTATATAATGATCCTTCAAAAGGTTTTGATTCATCATATTGATATGTTCAAAAATATAATTTTTTTGTCACAAACACTGAAGTATTGCTATTATGAACAGAAGAATGCGTCAATAGATAGGAGCGACATTTAATTTTTAAATAATCGGAATCTGAATGGAAACCAAAACGATATTAGGTAAAAGTTCAGAAAATTGTGTTTTCTGGCTCCCAGGGTCTTTATTTAGTTGATTTTTTTCTTCCTTTATTCTACTATTTAACCGCTCCACAGAATATACTCGTAAAAACTATTAATACTTATCTATATATATACGAGAGGTCTGAAATTATTTCTAGTTTAATCTGTGCAACAGTGAAATGCATGACTACAAATGTACAGTCGTTGAGAGGAGAGGAAAAGGTTTAAGTTGCTATTGTTCTCACTTCTGCACTTTTCCGGTATTTTCCATGTCGTTGACTTTTAAATTTTTTAAAATACTTTTTTCTTTGTTTCTCTGCAACAATGGCTTTTGTAGGGTTACTGTGCTGGATAATTGCGGGCAACAAAAAAATTTTAACTAAAAGCTTCATTTAATCAAAGCAACTCTTTTTTTTTACCACATGATCTGTGAAAACGTGAAAGCTTCATTGAGTTGCGCATTCTACGTACCGTATTATTAATAAATTATAATTAAAACTATAAACTAATTTATTTAAGCTATAGCAAAAACTATGATTTTATAAAAAACTGCCTGAACTTTGTCTGGTTAAGAGCAAAGGTAACGTTTTGATCTATTGGCTTTATCCTAACTCGTTATTTCAAGCGCTTACTCCATTATCATTGGTGCGAAAATACTGGCCTGGTTTTTTGTCTGCTATCGTTTTTTGCGCTATTCAATACGATTCGGCTTCAGTTTCAACTTTCTCTATATTGTCCGCCATATGATAGGTTTTCAAGGATTTTATATTGAAAGAAAACAAACTTAATTACCCAAATCTAACAATTTTTTTATTTAATAGATAATTTGATGGCGTTATAATTAAAAAGTGCTTTCAATGTAACTTAAAATACTTATATTAGCAATTATATTTGTCACTAACATTTTACAGTAATTTTGATAAGTAATACTTATATGTCTCTATGCCGTTGTATTGAGTAGTCAGTTGTAATTTCTCATCAAATTCATATAAATAAATAAACAAAAATAAAATATATTAAAAAAATTTTGTCAGGTGTGGGGTTCGAACCCACGCTCCCTCTCGGGAACCAGAGCTTAAATCTGGCGCCTTAGACCGCTCGGCCAACCTGACTTGTTAGTGCGATTGAAAAATATTCTACAAATTTATTCACTTGCACAATTGTATGAAATCGTACTTGCTTTATCTCTCTTATTGAAAATAATTTACCGTTCTAAGTAAGCAATGCCGTTCAGTGTGTACTATTAATGTCCAGGGTAAATAGCAAAGTTATATGTTTTTTTAAAACAAAAAAGCTCTTTTAAAGCTTTTTCTTATTTCTACTAAAAATTAAATTTTCTTGAATTCGTTGATTGTTCAGTGCTTTTATTTTGCATGCAAATATGATAATCTGAAATAGCCTCTCAACTAGTTGCTCCCGCACTCGTATACATCGTTTACTTAATAAGTAAACCCACCCGGAAGTAATTGTAAACAACCACAGTGATGGGTGGAATACTTTAAAAAAGTTTTCCTTTGTGCTGCTTCGCATAGAATTGGAGCAAAGATGTGTGTGTGGAGTTATTTACAAACTTTCCTTCAATTTAGTTTTAACCGCTATAAGTTAATTGAATGGCTACTTCTGTGTTGCAAATTACTTATTCACTAGAATAAATACTAAGAATTTGTTTGTGGAAGACATATGGCAAATTTATAGCTGTAGTTTGATCGATTGGACCTTGCTTTTCCAATTTTGAAAGAACTTGTTTTTTTATTATTTTAATAATAAATCGAAATAAAAATATAAAATTAAATTATACTAGTTACCATTGAAAAGCACTTATATATTCTTGGATTCTTTTCGATTCTAGTTCATTTAACAGCGTATGCACGATATTATGCATTCCTAACAGTTTCATTTGATTAGCTTAAAAACTAAGATACTAATTATTGTCTCTATGAACTAAACGCATATGAATCGACACCTATTGCAATGAAAACAACATCAGTGAGAGTGAACACAAACGTGGACTAACGAGCGTCTATACAGATACAGTATCTTCTTTGAGGTCAAGATTGCATAGCAAGATCTTAATAGATCTCTGCGTTTTAATACCATGGAAGAATGAGGCCTTCCTCGTGTAGACAGATCAGTCTTAACTCATTTGAGTTCAAGTCGTGTGCTAAGCAGCTACTTGTTACGCGTAATGTTAATTCTCAATGTGTGTCCCAATTGCAGCTTTACTTTCCATCTGTTTTTTACCTTATGGCCTCTATGATCTCAAAACGCGTTCCTCGCAATGGCAATTCGAGTCGGGGGAAGAGGAAAAAGGCACACGGAATCATATCTGGAGAGTACGGTGCTTGGTTGATGATATTGGTGGAGTTTTTGACCAAGAACTGCGACTTTTTTTCAATAAAATTCAAATTCGAATTCGTTCTTTTTTGATCACAAGGTATATGCAAAGTATTTTAGTTTCAATCCAGGCTAGTTTCACCTACTTTCAGCCATTCTGTATCTCAAACAACCATTTTCCTTCTCGCTTATTCCTCTGTCTAATCCATAACCTCACTCATTTATTTGTATTTTACAATACTTTTCATGGCTCTTGCAGTATTTATCTTTTCGCGTTACAACAACAACGTTCCTTCGCTGTCCTGGTCACCAAGCATTTAATCCTGACTTGAGGACATAGGTATTATTTCTTCAGTAATTACGTAAGACATTAGTAATTAGGTAATGACTTATTAATTAAATTAGTAATTTAATTAGTAATACTTCATAAGTAAATATTATGTTTATTGTGCAATAAATTTACAATTTTTAAAATAAATTCATAAAAAAATGCAACAAAAAACAAATCATTTTTAATTTAGTTCAGATAAAAAGTAAAAAGTAAAAAGATCTGAAATGAAATTATTTTATATTTATTAAATGTGTTCCAGAAGTCGTCATGGTTTCTTCGTAATTAAAAGCAAACATACAATCTCCGTTGCTTTGGTCAGCATTAGTAGATTTTGCGCAAAGCAAAGAGCTTTAGTGTGAAATGTTGTGTACTTGAGTTTTGTACTCGTATTGTAATATCGTAAACGATACACCACACAAAACCAATTACCAAAGTAAGATGAAACCACCCTAGTACAATAGGAAAGTGCTTGCGCTTTCTGCTGCAGAAGTAAAGCACTGCAATTTTGTACAGAAAGTAAATCAGTGCATTTCGTGACGTCTCTGAGGTAGCAATACAATAAAACGAAGCGTTCATTAAATGGAAATCTTCTAGAATTAAAAAACCTAAACTCGGTTACTGGGTGAAATAAAATTCGTTGGGTGTTGTCCGTGCGCGGCAATAAAAACAACAACGAATCATTTTTGCACTCATCTTCCAGTTTAACGCTTTACCTTTGTTTGGCATATGCAACATATCTGCAATTGATTTACAATTTATTTTTTCCGAATTTGTTTATAATTGTTATTAAATCGAAATAAGTGAAAATAAACAATTCGAAAGAAGCTTAGAGCAATGCTGATGAGTTGCAGTGCATCTTTTGCATAATATATGAATATATTCAATTACGCCTCAGCATCGATACAGTGCGTTTCCACAAGTGTAGGGGGCATGTGATGTGACCTACATTTAAATTCGTAGCAGCTCATCACATCACCACAACTGCGCCATCAAGTCGAGAATCGCGATAGAGCAATAAACGAGCATCTGCTCATCTGTGATTAAACTGTTCCAGCAGTACAAATCGTAGATTCGTTGCAAAGTGGCACGTTTTGTGAAATCGTTTCGTTCGAAAATTTGAAAAAATTTGCATAAAGTATCATTGTGATATAATATTTACAAAACAAATCTAGTTGTGTGCTGTGCCATTGAAAATTAGTGATAGTACATTCCATAAGGAAGACCTAAGACACCAATCCATATGACATCGATTAATTAATACACCACCGTTCTGCTAAATGTGTTAATCTAAGAATTAAAAAAACTGTCAAGAAATCGATAACAAATAAACAAACTGAATTGAATATAACAACATATCACCCCTGCCACAACAAACTGCAGGGGGTTGTTAATAGTTCTTGGAATAAAACATTTTTTGCTGATTTTCAAAATTTGATTAGAGGGTAAAAGGGTGTTAGTGCCAGTCACAAAACCGATTCTTTCGACATTAAACTGAAAATGGATTTTTATACAAACATAGAGCGCCGTATCGACAAAGACGGTGAGTGCCTTTGAATACAATATTTAAGCAGTATGGTTTCCTGATGTACTGCCGTCTCCCGACGTAATTTTGTTATCAAAGCGTTCAACATTTCTCTTAGAGAAAAGTCTTAAAAATAACTTTTGATTCTGATAATTTATTTTTTGTGTACTTTTCGTGTTATTTATGTTTTTCGCTGCGCTTATCATTTCGCAATCAATTTCATTGTAACAATTTAGCAGCGATAAAAATTTTTGATTGCTTTTGAGTGATAAAAATTAATGTGTTTTTTCCCCAAGAAGCATACTTCTCATTAAGTTTCTAATTCATTTTTTACGGTCAACTTCAATTTGATATATTTCCTATTAAACACCGCTAGATACAGGGCAAGACTAATCTACATTTTTAAATAAAGTATCTATTGATGTTAATAATGTTAATAATATAATTTCAAAACACTGACTTTTAACAATTCATAATAAAGTATCATAAAAACATTACAAATGAATATGAAATGACAAATGAAATTACAAAAAACAAAAAAAAAATACACAAAAGAATTACAAATTAATACAAATTGATGTACCCTGTATATTTTCTACCAAAATTAAATTAAGTTTTTCATTAGAAAATCGGAGAGATAATTTGTTTTTTATGTATACACGTAATTATTTAATTAGAAACGTATCTTCAACTTGATTTAATTAGAAAATAATGTATGGTAAACATCGCGAACCTTCCGGCGTTGAATTAAAAAAAAATTTAGATGAAAGTTACTTTAATGAAGAATGTAGTTAGGATCTAGTTTTTGAAAAATGGTTGTAGTTCATAAATGTTTGAAACAATTTAAAAGTTCTTTAAGAGACTCTGCATAAAGAAGAATCACTGCTGACAGTTACCCCGAACAGTCAAAAAGCACCAACATTGTTCTTAATATGCAAATCTTGTATTCATTTTTGAATTGATAATAAAATTATGATTCTAGACGTTGTATCATTTTATTAGCCAGAAGATGTTGGACACCAACAATATTAGAAACATTCTGTACAATAACTGAAAATTTAAAAACAAAACTGATTTTGAGATATATTTTTTTATCTATAGTTTTAATGCAGAATTAAAATTTTAACTTTTAAAGTTATAATCTGACCTTTTTCATTCCCTCTCATTTTTTGGTTTTAAATGACCTAAAAGCTAATCTGCTATATCTACTACTAAAAACTATCAATTACCAATCAATGTCGCTGTTGTTCTCAAAGTGTCAATATGTCCGAAAAGGCATATCTGCTATTGCACAATTGTCCTCAGTGTTCTGAAAGTGGGACGAAGTATGTAAAACCATGGGTGCACCTTGTCGCTCAAGTTCTGAACAGTTGACCGACCTGAGGCCAGAAGTCTTTCATGTATGCATAAGCCTATTATACTTTCATCAGCTACGCTGGCTTAACTTGGTATTTTCTGTGTTTGGCATGTGCAATGCCTGTAATGCTTTCAGTTAAAAGTAAATATTTTGATGAATTTAATTTTCTTTTTCGCTCTGGTTTTCCTCAATTTTCATTTAAAAAAGTCGCACAGGTTTCAAGTTGCATAATTACTGCTTATGATAAAAATTTGTAATGCCTTTGTGGGGAAGTTACGTTGCAATGTCTTAAGAAGACGAGCGCAAAACACTGGACAGTTGCCCATGACGTTGACATTGGCTACAAATATGGAAGTATATTATAATAAAATAAAGATGTAAAAATATGAAATCTTAAAATTGATGTGTGATCAAACACTACAGCAAGAATATTTTTTACTTGTTATGTTATATTAATTCATTTGTTCATTTTTCACACAAATACATAATTAATACATATTAAGTCTATTATTTAGAATATTTGTAACGCATAGAATGGAATAATGATTATCATTAAATTGTATATGTAGATTCATTTTGATCAATTTGAATAGTTGAGTCAATTTAGGCACTTTTTCCACACAGATAAAATCGTCAACTGGATGAAAATAGTTGACTTCATCAAGGACTTCTCATGCAAGACACTATAACCATTTCAAGTGATCTATGTTTCTATCAATTAATATATATATAAAGGGTTACTTATTTCGTGATCTTAATATCACATATTTGAAAAAGAAACTATCAAATCTAAAGATTCATGTGCTTGTTTTAGGATTTACGATTTTATAATAAAGTTGTGAAAACTTACTACAGAAATCATGACTATTTTGGGCATCAAAAATATTAAAGATTCGGCAATATATAATTTATATATTTTTCATATGCATTAACTGGGAATAACTGTTAAATAACTGTGTCAAATTTCGAGACTATCTTAATATAAGCACTGAATATTTCAATATATATTTTTTGCAAAAGATCAAAATGTTTTTTTTTATAATATATGATTTTTGGTACTTGTTTCAACAAGGACCGGAGGTAAAAAGAACAGACAGCCATGGTCAATGTCTTCTATGAGTATCTCAAGTGTTCGTAGGAAACCAATTCAAAATACATGAAAGTGCTTCTTCATGTGTTTTCTGCTTCCTCATGGGAAGCAATTTCAGCAAATGGGTACCTCTACTCCTTCTCTTGTGATGATGTGTAAATCCTATAAACATTTTTTCACTTCAATGATGGCATTTATTTAAAGAAATATATGTAGCATATATGACTGAATTTAATGTGTGATATTTTTTTTCTCTGTAGAAAAAGAGTTTTATTATTTATAAGCACAGAATTTAACACATAGAAAGCGTCGCCACTGTCACTGACACCAAGTTCATTGCAGCTCAATTGCCGCCAGCAATTCCACATAATCTTCAGGAACATGGAAATTTTCAGAGATTTTTACACAGACATTTTCTTTAAAAATAAATTTAATATTTTTCATTGAAACTGTTAACGTTGATGTTGATGCGCTGCAGCTGCATTTGAGATGGCGGAAGAGAAAATTTTCTAAGTCGCTTGAACTCGTGCATCATTTAACACAACTTAGATTGTATCTCTTGTCGAGTTACTTGAATAAATGTGTAAAGTGCCATAAATTTACTTTGAAGATTTAATAAAGCTTGGAAATATGCAAAAATCTTGAGGAGGAAAACTGAAATAATTTGTCTGAAAAGAAACGAGATTGTTGTCAGTTTTAATTGTTTGCTAAATTGTTACTCGCTCGTTGAAGCGTACATATTTCTCTTTATTGCTACTAAAGCAAAAACGACTTTCATTTGTGAGCTAAGAACTTGCAAATTATGAAAACTAGTCCAAAATGCTTAAAATAATGTGAAAGATAAGCGCTTATTCATTTTATGCTGATAAATCATATTTTTTCGCTCTTGACCTGTTTCACTTCATCACTTAACGTATTTTTGTATTATACATAAAGATTCGAAAATCTCTAACAATGTGTAGAAACTTATTACAACAATATTTTCAAATGTCCAGCTTTGTCAGGTAATAATCTAACTCAGAAAAATATTTGATTAATTCCATTAATTAATTTCTCATTTACGTTAACATATTTATTCGTAGTCTTTGTATATTTTCGTTATTCCAAACTCTGAAAGTTTTCCAATCAACAACTTAAAAAGATTACTAAATCATCATCAGTTGTACCTATGATATGACATCTTGATCTAATAGTTTCAGGGACTTACTTAAAAAGTCTCTTGAAACATTGAAAATACGAGTTTATTCTTTATAATCGATATTATCTATTAACTGAAACGCACTTTTGTTATTTGATCCAATCTTCGAAACGTCTTCTACAATTGGATTTTTGTATAGCCATTTAAGCTGTTTTTGAATTTTTTTTTATCTCTTCTCGGCTGTCAAAACGAATTTCCCGAAGTAGTTTCTTGAGTCGTTTAAATCGGAACGATTCACAGCCACTGGATGATGATGTGCAAAATCTTTGAATGTGCGGAATGGTGACTTTACGCAAACGTTTTGTGCTGCCCAAATAATTATCTTTGTTGACTGTTTTCTGATTTTCTGGTAAAAGTCATAATGCACAATGATCATTTCGACTTGTCTGATTCGATAAACGCAATTCACTCACCCGATACCTAGATTACTTGGCATATTCAAAAACCCATATTCACGTGTTCAGTAATTATGCGTTTGATGAATGTTAGACTGGATATAGCCGCTGAAATTATGTCTTTAGCGATGTCAAGCAGTCCCCTTTTGCATGGAGGTCAGATATTTCGTTATGAACTTTGCAGCGACACATCCAAAATGTAAATTCTTAATTGAAATTCCTTAAATAGATTTATAAGCAATGTTCAGATTCTATACTAGTTCTCTAAGTGTCAGCTCGCGGTATTCGATCAGCATTCCTTCGATTATATCGACAGGTTTTCGTCGGCAACTTGTGGTTTTTTTTCTGTCCCCGAATTTAAAATGACCACTTTGAGTTGAGGCAGATGTTTTAAGTAGATTGTGACAATAAAAGAAGATTTTATCAAAGTTTTAAAGAACATACCTTAATTAGCCATAGAAAAATATCGTAACGATTGGATTAAATACAGGGATAATTATTTGCTTATTCAATAGAGCCTCTTATGAATGCGACAATATAAATTGATATCAAGATTGTTTGATAGTTTTTTGTGTTTTATTTAATTATCTCGAATATATACTTTTATTACTGAATGTTAAATCTGAGAATCTGAGAAATGTTATTTAATAAATTTCATAATCAATGTCTGACCGTCTCATTGCTTCGTGTTCGTTTACAAAATTATACTAGATCTAATAAGAGCTTTAAGCCCAAACATCAATTATTGTTACAACGAGTGGTTGCTTTAGATGAAAATGTATCTCATGCGCTGCTTACTTAAACTAGTGTGTATATACGAATGGGATTGTATTATCGATTTACCATAATTAGCATTTCACAGTGGATCTGCAAAAATTTAGTTGCGAAGTATGAGACTTAAGTTCAAATGAAAATGAATTTCACCTTGTCACTGAATCTACACTTATTTGCTCTGAACAATTTACTTGTTCCTACTGAAATACTAGTAAGTGTTCGATGCAATGTGGGTGATGCTGTGCGTCATCATTTCAGTAGAAATTTTATTATTTAAATTAACAATATTCCGCACTATTCGTGTTTGCAAATTAATGCTATGAAAGGGAAAATGACGACAGTGGGCAGTGTAGCAATCAAGATTTGTTTTGCATTCTATAGAATAATTTTTCCCCTTAGTTTAAAAGCTAAGTACATAAAAAAATTGATTTGTAGAAATTTTATTAGTTTTTGTAATTTTTGAAACTAAGCTCAATTAAGTACTTGTACTAGTTTTAGGATAAGGAATTACAAAAAAATCGGTATGATTTTATTGCATTCATTTAAAAGTCATTTGAAGTTCGTAAGATTTTTATGGCATTCGCCAGATTTAATATTTACGAGTTTATCATCCTAACCAGACTGGAATGAAATTAACCTTAAAATTATATTTTAAATGTTTTTATGCTTACTTATTGTTTAAATACGCGTTGAAATGTTTTTTTTTTACTAAGCAAAGTCAGAAAGCAACAAACTTGTTAACGTTTTTTATTTATCGGCCAAAACGAAATACAACAGAGCCATTTGTAAGCGCAAATATCAGTCAAAAAGGTTTTTGTACTCGTCGCGGCTTGTCAACAGTTTTTTTGTTTTATTTTTTAGTAAGTTTATCACCGAATGACTCAGAGGCACAACAGTCAGCAGAGTAACCAAATCAGTCCTAGCGCTACTCCACAAACGCTGCTTAGATAGAAAATTGCTCATGTCTTCCTCTTGTTTGTAGAGCACAATTAAAGGCCCAAATCGAAATCGTGAGGTAAGCGAAAAATAGAGCCAACGAAGTTGTTGCCATAAGCAGAATAATTGGAACGGTCGCTAAAATGTCCAGTGCCGAATTTATTCTGAGGCCACAAAAACACGCGTTTAGTTCAACAAGAACATTTTTTTATAAACACTAAAATAGTTGCTTGGGTTCTTCATTATAATCGCTTATCACGCTTTATTATTCTCTGTTCAGATAAGTTTTTAACATTTTAAATACTCAATGCCAGGTTTCTGTCCACAGAAAATGTTTCTTATTGTTTGTAACAGTCATTGTAGTTACTGTAGTTTTTCTTATTTTCTCTTTTTGCTCTACAGCTGCTGTTTTTTGTTTATATCGTTATATCGCAAATACCAATTTAGGCAAATTACATTATTTTAGCTATTAAGAATTTTAAACAATGGCAAAAAATTAATTTTTTATATGTGTTCATTGTATATAAACAAATTAATACGCTGCTTCAACTTAGACTAGCCGTAGGAACGTAGAACTTATCAGAAACTATGGAACGAGGTTACAGTAACTACACTAGTCATAAATTTTGCCTTATTGATTTTGTTTTATTTATTGTTTTTTTTTTATTATTTTAATCAATTATTTGTAAATAAATTTACTGAACTTTTTAAATCCGTCTCTGAATAAATGGCGAAAAAAGCAGCAAAAATTTACCTAAATGACTATAATTTATATTATATAAAACCGGTGAGTCTATTGCAGTGAACAGAGTGTAACCCGCTCAGTGATAAAGCGGAACAATATCCAAACACTCAGAGTGAAACTTTCCCATGTGCAGAAGTTTCTAACGTTCAGTTAGTTGAGCTCTGTGGCTGTATCGACGAACACCTTTCGTACTTTTAACTGAGCTAAGCGTGTTGGTATTTTATCATTTGTTGTTGTTGTTGTTGTTGTTGTTTAATAAAGCGATAAGAAATATATTAATACATTATATTTGTAAAACATTCTTAACTGCATTCGGAAGTAAAATGATTTCGACTTTATTATAATTTTTTATTTGCAGTGCGTAAAATGGACACACAATTGGTGTGGGCACGCGATCCTACTGAAGGTTACATTCAATGTCGTATAACGGAAATCGGCGCGAAAGATTTTGAAGTTACTCCAGTTGACCGGAAGTTCGCGAAACGTACTTGCCACATCGATGATATTTTTTCTTCTTGCGAAGGACCTCAGGATCACGATGACAATTGTAAGTATAGCAAATACAGGTAGATATCTATTCATTTATTCACCTCTTAGATAAAAAAATCTGATAATTAAAAAACACTGTTCTTATATAACATAAACTGTGTCAAATATTTGATAAGAACGTTTTGAAATGTAGATTTCTGAAGTGCTAATGTTTCGGAAATAATTTTGTTTAGTTTTACACCTTCCTTGAGTGTTCTCAGGTTTATGCTTGCTTGAGTAGATAACAATATATTCAAGAAAAAAAAAATCATTTGAAAACAATACGAATTCGTAGACTTTAATCGTGTTTCAATTTTAGAGTTTCATCGAAATTCGAAATACACAGTAAAACATTTAATGTATCTTTTATTTATTGCACAAATAAGGTTTCATTTTTTTTGTGTAATTGAAACGTGACTTCATGCCATGTCTTAAAGAAAATAACCAATATTTCAATTTAACTAAGGTTGACTTATACTATTCTCTTCCGTGAGCAATCCTAAGTCTTAAATGTCAAAGTATCTTTAGAATTTAAGCGAGAACTAGTCTGTCGTTTCGGATATGGATTATTTATGAAAGTCTTTTGTAGTGCAGTATTTTTTTTCGGTTTTATAGCTTTATAGCTGTACTTATTTCGTGACATTAAGTCATGTTTTTGTGCTCTAATTGTTATATTTATTTTATGCACTTTCATGAAAACCCCGACTTACTTCATTCTTTCTTAAATGGCATAATTAACATTACTTTTCTAAATTTTTATATGATTCAATGCAACTATGAAAGGTCAAAGTGAACTACGTTTTTAAATAAGAATTTTATTTTCTTAACTGTGCCATATATTTTGCAGAGACTATTTGATTAAGTGGTTAATGTGAATGAATATGATCTATCCCTGATAAGTACTATGATACCACAAGAACAATATCACAAGATGAATAACTTAGTTAAAAGCTTGGTGATAGTCTAATATATTAATCATTATAATAATAAGCAAGGACCGAAAAAAAATTATTTCAAAAATTTTTAAGAAAAAAAGCAGGAACAAAAAGTTGTCTAAACTCATATTTAAGTATATAGTTATCATTCTAACAACTTTTATCCTTAATATTATGCATGCCTTTTATATGTGAACGGTTTAAAATAAAACTCAAAAATAAGAGTTATTCATGATTTTTATATTTAAAAAGCAAAAATATCAGTTATTTGTGCGTAAATGGGTTTTGACACTAATTGCCTTCCACTCATCTTTTTTTAGGTGAATTAATGCTACTTAATGAAGCTACATTCCTGGATAATCTTAAAGTTCGTTATTATAAGGACAAAATTTATGTAAGTATTTTTCATATGCCTAAGTTACGTTTTAATATTCTGCTTTAAGACATACGTGGCCAACATACTCATAGCTGTTAATCCGTATCGCGAAATAAATGATCTTTATTCATCGGTTACAATAAAGCAATATAATGGACGTTCCTTGGGTGAATTGCCACCACACGTGTTCGCTATAGGTAACCATACATTTAAGATATGGACACTGAACAAACTTATAATTATATATATACTATTATCTCTAGCGGACAAAGCTATACGTGATATGCGCGTTTTGAAGTGTTCACAGTCAATAATTGTATCGGGTGAATCTGGTGCTGGTAAAACGGAATCTACAAAATATTTACTTAAGTACTTGTGCCATTCACACGATAGCGCCGGACCAATTGAACAGAAGATCTTAGATGGTAAGCAGACATATAAATTTAATTTTCAAAAATTACTATTAAAAATTTTTTTTTAGCTAATCCTATTTTGGAAGCTTTTGGCAATGCAAAAACAACTCGAAATAATAACTCCTCACGTTTTGGCAAATTCATAGAAGTGCATTATGATGCAAAATGCCAAGTTGTTGGTGGTTACATATCACATTATTTGCTGGAAAAGAGTCGCATCTGTACCCAAAGTTCGGAAGAGCGTAATTATCATGTATTCTATATGTTACTAGCCGGCGCACCACAACAGCTCCGTGATAAGTTAGGTTTAGGCAAACCGGATGATTATCGGGTAAGTGAATAAGCGTCAAGGTGCTAAAAAATAATTTCGGTATATCGAATACATCTTTAAGTTATAAAACTCGAGATAAATATTATTATTTATATGCATGACTAGCTTATCAGATACTAGCTTATCAGACATGTCACTGATTGAAGACCTAATAATTATTTTTCGTGTACAATTTTTCAGTATCTTTCTGGTTGCACTCAATACTTTGCAAATGCAAAGACAGAGCAACTTATACCAACTGCGCAAAAATCTAAAGACTATCAGCAGAAAGGTGCCCTAAGAGACCCGATTATTGATGATTACAATCATTTCCAGAACTTGGATAAAGCGCTTAGCCGCTTGGGTCTCAGTGATGTGAATAAATTGGAAATATATTCGCTGGTTGCTGCTGTTCTGCATTTGGGTAATATATCATTTGAAGAAATACCCGATGATGCGCGTGGTGGTTGTCAGGTGTCTGAAGCCTCTGAAGATTCTCTAACAATAACGTGTCGCCTTTTGGGTGTGGACCCCACGGAATTGCGGCAAGCACTGGTTTCTCGAGTTATGCAAAGTAAGGGAGGTGGTTTTAAAGGCACTGTAATAATGTAAGAAACGATTTAAATATATTCGCATTAAATAATTAAATACAAATATTTTTCCATGCAGGGTACCTTTAAAAATCTACGAAGCGAGTAATGCACGCGATGCTTTGGCTAAAGCAATTTATAGCCGACTTTTTGATCGAATTGTAGCACTAATAAATCAAAGCATTCCATTTAAAGCTTCCAACTTTTATATTGGCGTTTTGGACATAGCTGGTTTTGAATATTTTACCGTTAACTCATTTGAACAATTTTGTATTAATTACTGCAACGAAAAGTTGCAAAAGTTTTTCAACGACAATATTTTGAAAAACGAACAAGAACTATATAAACGGGAGGGCCTTAATGTACCGGAAATTTCTTTCACAGATAATCAAGATATTATCGACTTAATTGAATCCAAATCGAATGGTATTTATACACTATTAGATGAGGAATCAAAACTGCCAAAACCATCAGCATCACATTTCACAACTGAAGTACATAAGGCTTGGTGTAATCACTTCCGGTTAGGTTTGCCTCGTTCTTCGCGTTTGAAGGCGCATCGCATACTAAGAGACGAGGAAGGTTTTCTTGTGCGACACTTCGCAGGTGGCGTGTGCTACAATACGGTTTGTGAAAGTAAAAAATTATTTAAATTTTTAATTAATGTATTTTTTATTTAAAGGAACAATTTATTGAAAAAAACAACGATGCGCTGCATGCGTCTTTAGAAGGCCTTGTGCAAGAGTGCGAAAATCCTTTGTTAAAAACTCTGTTTCCAAGTGGTAGCACCTCACCCCGGGGAAAACTGAACTTTATATCTGTAGGTTCAAAGTTTAAAACTCAACTCGCAGAACTAATGGAAAAATTAGAGAAGAATGTAAGTTTTTAATAAGTAAGAATAAGTTGCAACTATCAATTTTATATTTACATTAGAACGGCTATAGTCAATCGCAATATTTACCACTAAGCAAACAAAGGGGAATGCATTATAATTTAGAATCAAAACTGTATAAGAAATTGGAAAGCAATGAAAAAAGTGGAATAAATGTTTTTCAAAAATTTGTAAATATACCCACAAATATTCATTTTACTCATTTTTCAATTCTATTGCAATATTCTGACTCACATCTTAAATACAATTTGAATGACTAGAGTTATAAAATTTCTTATTGCATTGAATTATAAGTGAATGGGCGCTGTTAGAAGGTAGGACAAAGGAAGGATAATTTCCCCACAAATTAAGAACAAAAAAACCTAATTTTACTAAAAATATTCAAAGTACTGGTCACTATCTACTATTCTATCATTTACAAATTTATTTTCATACATCACTTTACTATCTAAAACATCACAGTCCATAACTTCGCCATTGGTCTATCATATTTAGATGGGGAGGTATCATCCATGTGATAATACCATAAGACCTTCTTATGTTATAAAATCTGTGTTGCATACACTTTAAGGGCCCCTGCTGTCTTAGCTACGTCAATGTATAAGTTTGACACTAGTTTTAACTAGTGTACAGTTTGTGTATAGTTTTACATAATAATTGCTGTATGATGTAATTATGTTGTTATATTTTCTTTATTTAATGATATGGTCCATAGAATAGCTTAGTTAATATACATAAACAAAGCCTGGAGTGTAGCTTGTGGAATAATATTTTTAAAAGTTGAAGCATTTATATTAATATAATATATTTATTAAATTATTTTAGTACTTCTTAATAGATTTTTTATTAATAAAACATTAAAATAACAAACATCTATTTTTTACAGGGCACAAATTTTATACGTTGTATTAAACCCAACAGCAAAATGGTAGATAAGGAGTTTGAAGGTGGTTTAGCTCTAGCTCAGTTGAAATGTTCTGGTACTATATCTGTACTTGAACTTATGGAACATGGGTATCCTTCACGTGTACCATTCGGAGATCTCTACAACATGTACAAATCGTACTTGCCTCCAGAATTGGTAAAATTGCCGGCACGTACGTTCTGTGAAGCTATGTTGCACTCGCTAAACCTCAGTTCGAAAGATTTCAAATTTGGTATAACGAAAGTGTTTTTCCGTCCTGGGAAATTCGTTGAGTTTGATCGCATATTAAGATCAGATCCTGAAAACCTTTTAGCAATAGTGACTAAAGTTAAGAAATGGTTAATACGCTCTCGTTGGGTGAAAACAATATTAGGTGCTGCGTGTGCAATCAGATGTAAGTTTATCTAAATAACCTAAGTATATATCCATTGAATTTCATTTGTTTATGTATGTATCACTTATTTTTAGTAAAAAATCGTATAAAATACCGGAATAAATGTATATTGGTTATGCAGCGCATGGTACGTGGACATTTGGCAAGAAAACATCATAGACCTAGGTATCAAGGTATTGCAAAAATAAATAAAATTCGTCTTAATGCCCAAAAGACAATAGAAATAGCAACGGGTCTAAAGAATGGTCGTGAGGTAATTATAAATGAAGTAAACGATATATATCGCCAAATCGAGGATGCCATTAAAAGCATAAAGGTAAGTGATAATTGTTTCTTCAAATTAATACAGGCGTTTTTTCAAATGACAATTTATAGGAAAATGAAAAAATTACATCCAGAGAAATAGATAGCCTGCATACTGTAGTAATGGCGAATATGAATAAGGTCACTGTGGACTTAAATAGTAAGCTTAAGGTAAGTATACATTAGAGTGTATATTCTGTATAGTGTATCATATAGTGTATAGAAACACAAAATTTGTTTACATATTTAACATATATATTTAACAAATATTCTTCTTAAAGGAGCAACAACAAGCAGAAGAACAAGAACGCTTGCGTAAAATTCAGGAAGCTCTTGAAGCAGAGAGGCGAGCTAGGGAAGAAGAAGAACGCAAAAAGCAAGAAGAAGAAGAGAATAAACGACTGTAAGTTCTTATTAGTCAAATATATGAATATGAAAACGTTAAAATTTAAATAAAATATTTTGAAAACAGCAAAGCTGAAATGGAGGCGCGACGCAAAGCTGAAGAACTAAAACGTCTCAAACAGGAAGAGGAAGATCGCAGAGCTGCTCTAGCATTACAAGCTCAATTAGAAAAAGAAGCACAAGATGATGCTAAGTATCGGCAACAGTTGGAGCAGGAGCGACGTGATCACGAACTGGCATTACGATTGGCAAATGAGTCAAATGGGCAAGTGGAAGATAGCCCGCCAGTTATTCGCAAGTATGTCTTATGTGCATAACGTATCTAATTTGTAAATATTATGATTGGAAGTAATACTTAGCAGCAATTAAATTGTACAGCACTGCTGCCTTTTGTTTTGTCCTTATTTACTTAAGTTTATTTATTTTGAATTTTACACTGCCTAACTATTTTATATGCAATAATTATTATTTTTATATTATAACTTTTACAAATTCTCTCTCCCCCTATACTCTCAGTGGTCAAAGTGATGTTACGTCCATGGTTCCAAACAAACTGATCAGGTACAAAGCACGCATGTTTTTTTTTTATTTCGATGAAACAGATGTACTAATTAATTATTAATATTGTTTATTCTTACTAATATATTTGTATTTAAATTTTTTTCTTGAATGAAACTAAAGTTTTTCTCATGTAATTTCGACCTTTACGTCACGGTATTTTAAGTGAGTTAACATAGAAATCAAAATTAAACAAAAAAATTTTATAAACTATTCCTCTCATTGTTATTCTGATTTGGTCAAATTATTCAATAAATTTTTTTTATTATTTGTATTATACAGTATGTTTTTAGAATTTTTTGTGGTTTTGGAAACTATTTAATGCACACACTACAATTAATAAATTTAAACTAATCACAAATAAATTAAGTAATATCTTTACAGTAATTACAGTAATTTTTAACTTTAAATAATAAATAACTTAATTAAAATCTTTGAAATTGTCATATTAAATTTTATGACAATCTGATGTAGAAGGGTTTTTATGTGTTTTTCTGTGTTTTTCTGTGTTTTTCTGTTATATAGATATACAGTGACTCCATCGCATAATCGGACAAGCATTTGTTCGATATAAATGTGCTCTAAACTTTAAAAAAAATGCTAAAATTATGATTTTTTTGCTTTAATTAATACCTAACATACTTATCTATCTAAATTATAAAAAAAATTAAAACATTTTTCATATTAACTATTAATTTAAAGTAAAAAACAGAACCTACACAATTTTTTGGGCTCAACCATAATCGGACAAAGTGAAGCAGCAACGCTAAAAATACTGTTATTTTACAATTATGCACTTCAAAACTACAGTAATAATTCTCACAACAATGTTTTTTACATTAAGATAAATATAAATTATATAACTGTCACAAATTAGTATTAAAATGGCACCAAATGGAAAGCAATCTACTGTCGAATTTAGGCAAATAATAATTAAATTGAATTTTGAAGGTAAAACCGTCAAAGAAATTGCCAATTTAGTTGGAATAAGTCAATCTACTATTCAAGACATTATCATGAGGTTCCATGATGAGTTTAGGCTGGCCAATAAGATCAGAGCAGCTCAAGGCAAAATATTAAATGATCGAGAAGAGCGTTCGATATTGAAAGAAATAAAGAAAAATCCTTTCAAAGCCGCAAAAGACCTTAAATTATCATTAAAATCCCGCAATGAGAAAGATGCATGCTGAAATACTATTCGCAATACATTACATAAATTCAATTATCACGGAAGAATTGCCAGAAAGAATCCATTTATAAGTATTAAAAATAAAAACAAAAGAATAAAATATACTAAGGAATATTTACTAAAAACAGAAACCTTTTGGAATCAAGTAAATTGATGGTAAATCATCTTAAATACATTTTCATTGATAATTTTTATTTTTTTAAGGTTTTGTTCACTGATAAGAGTAAATTTAATCTGAATAGATCTGATGGTAAGATGTTTTTATGGCGTAAAAAAAAACCAAATGCAGAATTCAATCATCACAATACAAAAACCACATGGAGGAGGCTCTGTTATAGTTTGGGGTTGTATCTCGAGTGTTGGAGTAGGTAATTTGCATTTTATAGATAGTAAAATGGACAAATCTGGATACCTCGACATTCTGGAACAGAATGTAAAGCAAAGTGCAGAGAAATTGAGTATTGCAGAAAATTTTAATTTTTATCAGGACAACGATCCCAACCATAGGTCAGGCGTAGCAAAGCTTTAGTTGGTCCATAACTGCCCCAAACTCATAGACACACCTGCACAGAGCCCAGACCTTAATGTGATTGAGAGTTTTTGGGAGGAATTAGCTAAGAGAGTGTACCAAAAAAAATTAAACACAATAGTACAGCTAAAGGAGCATGGTACTCAATTGAGCCAGATGTGTGTCAAAAATTGTTAAAATCAGTTCCAAATCGTCTTCAGGACGTTCTGGATAACAAAGGATATGCAACAAAATATTAAATGCCACATTTCTGCATTTTTAACATGGATGCTTAATTTTGTCCGATTATAAGTTGAGCCCAAAAAATTGTGTTGGTTCTGTTTTTTACTTTTAATTAACAGTTAATATGAGAAATATTTTATTTTTTTTTATAATTTATATAGATAAGTATGTCAAGTATTAATTAAAGCAAAAAAATCAATTTTAATGTTTAGAACACATTTATATCGAACAAATGCTTGTCCGATTATGTGATGGAGTCACTGTATGTAGTAAATTCTGTATATAAATCATGCTTATCACAATTATTTTATAAAACGGGACTCTTTGCAATGCAATTTATTTAACACAATAAAAAAATACTTTTATTTACATTTAGATCAGAGAACGTAAGGGCGCAACAACAAGCTTTGGGCAAACAGAAATACGATCTGTCAAAATGGAAATATTCTGAACTACGAGATGCAATTAATACTTCCTGTGATATTGAATTACTTGAGGTATGTATATTGCAATTATTATGAAAACATTTTTAAAAAAGCATGTTTGTATCTTATTAGGCTTGTCGTCAAGAATTTCACCGTCGTCTAAAGGTTTACCATGCTTGGAAAGCAAAGAATCGTAAACGCACTACCATGGATGAAAATGAACGTGCCCCTAAAAGTGTAATGGAAGCGGGTAAATATTTTAAAATTGATTGATTTTATTATTAAAAAATAAAAAATTTAATGATTACCTACTGGTTCAATAGCAACCAAGGCACCACCATTAATACAACCGAAACATGAAATCACAACAGCCCAACATCGTTATTTCCGGATACCGTTTATGAGAGCAAACGCACCTGAAAATAGTAAGAAATTTTTTTATACTTCATATAATAAATAAATTGTTCAATAATAATCTATGATTAAATAGCTAAACGTGGTTTATGGTATGCACATTTTGATGGTCAGTGGATAGCGAGGCAAATGGAATTACATGCAGATAAACCTCCAATTCTTCTAATAGCAGGTAACTATTCTTTGTTGTTTCACAATTTTGTCTTATAAAACTAAGATATTATTTTTTCTTTCAGGCATTGATGACATGCAGATGTGTGAATTGAGTTTGGAGGAAACTGGTCTGACTCGTAAGCGTGGTGCAGAAATTTTAGAAATTGAGTTTAATCGTGAGTGGGAGAAGAATGGAGGCAAACCATACAAAAATCTTGGCTCTCAAATATTATAAAAATGAACATATAAACACTTCCAGGAAACAAAAGGCGTTAAAATAATTGAAACTATAAAATTTAAAATATAATATTTAGTATTGAAAAATTTACTAAAAATTCAATAGTGAAATATAATCGAAAATATTTTTATAACTTTTTTGATATAAAAATTTCCAAACAACTGTCAACAGATGATTTACTTTTCGATTTAAAAGTGCCTTTGTGCTTGGAACTTATAAATTTCAATGTTAAAATATATTTAAAAACAGGAACGAAACTCATTCCAAATTATGGAGTTCTTATAAAATTACTAAAATTTAAATGTATTGTCTGAAACAGTATTTTAAATAAAACGTATCAATGTCCAATATTTTATTCATTACAGCATGTACAAAAAGTAATTATTACTCTATTTTAACAGGGCTTTATGTTCAGTTTATAATAATTAAATTTTATTTTATTAAATAAAAAACTTTTCATTACTTAACTATATTAAATTTTATTTACTGGTCTACGTCCGTAGATCATCTTTAGCGTACACTATTTGGAAAAAAATTTAGCGACTTCAAGCCCAAATAAAATGTAGTAATACTTTTACTTTAATAATAAAAGTCTATAATATTTATTAATTATATGAAATAATTAAAATGAAATATACTTAAATGAATCCCAGAGAAATATTAGTGTCCTATTATTGAGCCGTACAAATATAAACATAAAAAACTATGAAAAAGTATGAACTTCCTAAAATTAAAATAACTAAAGTAAATTTATTTATATCTAATGTTTTCAAATATGTTTTTCTAAATTATATGAATTTAACGACTTAAAAACAAGTTTAAAATTACATTGGCATGTGGCCAGATTATCATTTAGAAATGTTTACAATTGTTTTTAACTATTATTAATATTAAATATTTTTATGTATTTGAATGTATTATTAAATTTATTGATAAAAAAATTTATTTAAAATATCTATTTATAAATCTAACTAATAATTCTATACACAAACATTTAAGGAAATAATAAAATTACTGCAACATGTAACCGAAATGGGTTTGCAATTCGTATACGAGAAAAGCACATGTTGTATTTGAAAGGACATTTATCTAGGGAAGATAATTTTCTACTTATAATAACAGCAAAAGTTCAAATGAAACTGCTGTCGTCAATACAGAATAATTATTACTATAATTGAGCAAAAGACTAGTATTTTTGTCGGGCTCTTATTTTATTATTATGGAAAAGGAGGAATAACTTGCTGGTCTTATTACATTACTTATTTGAAAGCTACTCTTCTTAAGTGTACGTCCTATCTATTTACTATAAAAAATTCAATAAACAAATATCCATAAAGATTTATTTAAGAAATTCTTTCGATAGCAGCCGTGATATACCATCATCAAATAAACATTTGCATATGTTTTCATACCTCTGGCACATCCGACACAAATGTGCTAAATGAAACGGCAAAAGTGCAACATTTCTCAAGTAAATAAATTGAACAGTTTTCAATTATTTTAGATAAAACCAATTCGTGTTTCAGTAATTCAAAATTTAAGAACAATAGTTTTTTATTAAATTTACCATGAGACAGGATAAACTGCAATATGTATATCTACGTGGCTTTTAAATTTTAATATAATTAATTAAATATACTTACTTACTTAGTTGGCCATTACAGACGTGTGTCGTCCTTGGCCGCGTCGAGTAGCCTCCGCCAGTCAGCCCGATTAGTTGCCTTCTGAAGCCAGTTGGTAGTACCGAGCGCCCCAAATCGTTGGTCACCTGGTCCTTCCACCGAAGATGCGGACGTCCTCTACCGCGTTTTCCACCTGCGGGTATCGAATCAAATACCTTTCTAGCCGGAGCACTTTCTTCCATTCGCACGACATGACCAAGCCATTAATTAAATATATATTAATAAATTTGATATAAGGACAGGCTATAGTTAAATAACACAATTTAAAAACAAAATAAAATTTAGTTTCCTCAAAATTTTTTTATTTAAACCAATATTTCGACAATATTTTATAGTCATCTATCTATGTTACAGAAATATTTGAGCAATACTTTAATGTAGATTTATTGTGATAGCTGGTCTGGATATTTTGTTATGATGCTTAAAAAATATTTATCTATTGCCAATATTTCGTTAATAACTTTTCCATCCCACAATATTTTTTTAAATATCTTTTTGTTAAACGCAAGATGAATGACACAATTTTGAATAAACCATGAGGAAATAAGGATTAACATCAAAAGAGTTTTAAATAAAAATGACTTCCCCAACCCAGTTGCCTATGACATCTTGGAACTCACAAGAAAATAACCAACAAAAACGCTTTTTCTTTGAAATGATTTATATTTTAAAATCTCCTTGCTACAGCACCAGGCTCAATTATAAAACTGATATACAAAACGGTGCTCATGTGTATAAAAACATCTTCAACAAATCCTAAAGAGGATAAATATATTATTTCTATATAGGTATACAGGGTGGCTGACGAAAATTGTAACAGTCTAAAATGCTCTATTTTGTTTATTTTTGTTGAATTCAATGAGAGATAAATGAAAACATGCAAAAAGAACTTCAAATTTTTAAGTTAATTTACAGCGCTCAAAAAAAGTATTCGTCATTAACTAAATTTTTACGAAATTTGTAATAACAACAAAACCAAACAAAAAAATGAAAAAATAATAATGCAGTTTTCAACGTTTGTATTTTGTTTATTTGTTTTAACTCTTTTTACTCCAAAAATTTTAAAAATAAAATAGCAAAAAAAGCAATTCTATTGTGGAACACCGAAAATACCGCACACCCAGGGTTCAGAAAAACACTGTGCTGTGCACAAAAATGCAAAACACCACGCACAAATGTTGTGCGATTCTAAATAAAATTTCACACCACAAATGTGATGTGCGAAAATTTTTGTGCACATCTTAAGTGCCACATCTTGTGTGCACAAACAAAACGCACATTTCACACGAGTGTGGTGGAGTGAAATAAAACTCGCACACGCATTCGGTGTTTGTGCCGAAGTTATTTCGCACAGCACATTGTGTGTGCGGCAGCCAACTTGCCCTCGCACACAACGTGTGCAGAAAAGAATACGAGGAGCACATTTTGTGTGCAGACTCGAAAATAAAAATGCACCCAAATGTGCGGAGACGAAATGTCTACTGCACATTTGTGTGAAATGATGATTTAAAAGCGCACAATATTATGACAAATATCGCAGCAAAATAGTACATAAAACTGATTTGTTTTAATTTTGGTCTTAATGCGAAATATTTTATTGAAGAAATAATTTTGTATTTATATTTTAATTTTGAATTTATTATTAGATTTACATTTATTGCTTATATTACTTATTATTTTAAGGTTTATTAATTTAAAACATGAGAATAAAGTTAATTTCACAATGTACTTGAAAACTTTGTTAAATTAAATAGGTACATGAATTTAATAGAGAAAGAGTATTTGTTTCGAAATGTTATAAGTAAAGAGGATCGGTTCTACGGATCGTACTTTGAAAAAATTAAATATATCAATTTTGGACTACTTCATAAAATTTTATTTAATAGTAAGTTGTACACTAAGATTCGTTAGTAAGGTTATAAAAAGCAAATTAAATATTTTTTACAACAACATAAATTAATTTTGTTATTAGATTTCACTTAATTTTTTATCTTTAATTACAGCTTAAATTTAACGAAGTTATTGAAATAATTTAATATCTTAATTTCTTATTAAAAAATATTTAATTTTAATTACATATTTTTTGAAATAAATTTTCATTTAATCTTATTAATAACATTGCTGAAATATTTTTTTCACTTAAATTATATCTTTGGTTACTTAGCACAGTAGAAAGGGCGCTAAAATCCTGCTACCTGTTCAAGAAAATATTTTCCTAATCTTTCGCGTTTTTTAATGAATGTTAGATACTCTACCTAAGTGAATACATATTTTTTGGGCATAAAAACATCTTCCTAAAATATGTTTTTATTTCTTTTAAACTGGTGCAAAACTTTCCAAACAAATACTTTAAGTTCACTTACTATATTTGCATTTAAAAATGCACAAAGTAATATACAAAAAACTAATATTTTAAGTTAAAATACAAATAAGGTTAAGACAGTTATAATTTTTAGTTAACATTACTTAACAAAAATAATTATTTTAAATATTTGTTAATTTATGCAATTTTTAATATAAGTTACAATCCCAACGAACGCAAATATCAATTTTTTCAAAATTTGCAACAGAATAATATTTCTATTTCAAACAAAATTGTGAAGTTCCTGTAATTTTTTCCACCCTTGGGTGCAAACGCAAAATCGCAGATTTGTGCACGTTTGTGCATCGCACATTTGTGCACATTTGTGCACGTTTGAGCAATCGCACATTTGTGCACATTTGTGCAATCGTAATATGAGCAACACACTCGTGTGCAGAGAGAATTGTTTGTCGCACAGTGCGGTGCGAGCATAAAATTTTCTCGCACATCTGATTGTGCACATTTTTGTAAATCAGTCGCACAGCACAAATGTGTGTGCACGAATCTGTGTGCAGAATCATTGCTTTGTGCGATGTGAAATTTGAAATCGCACAACAAATTTGAGTGCGTGCATTTTTTTTCTTAACACCACAAATGTGCGTGTGTATATTTTAAAAATAATTTCCACTCGCACAGTGCAGTGTGCGATTTTGTGCACCACATTCCGAACTCTGCGCACACCCTTCCAGATAAGGCACACGTCGCCACTGCTACAAACGGCTTTGCGGTATTTTGGTCCATTCTCGGTTTAGCGTTTGCGTCAGATGATCGATATTTTGATATTTTTTAGCACCAAATTTATTTTTTAGAATACCCCAGACCGAGAAATATAAATGATTTATATCAGGTGAACACGATGACCATTGTGTTGATGGAAAAAAACAGGAAACGTTGATTCTTGATTGACGCATTGGAATGTCCAACGCTTGCGACCGAAATTCTCATTTACCCAGATCTTTAGTTCTCCCTCCAAAATGATTTCCCGATAGATTTAGGCGTTTATTTTTACCCCATGGTCTATGAACACGAGCGGAGAGCAACCATTAACCATTACGGCGGCCCACACCATCACCGCTTGATTTCTAGTGCCAATCGTATATTTAAACTTTCAGCTGAACTCTTTGACAAGTAAACCCGACATTTTGCTTGTTTACGGACTGCGCAATTACGAATTATGACTCATCAAAAAAACTACATTCGGCAACCCACCATTTCGACCAAACGAACCAACACTTTAGTTCTTTTGATTTTTTTGTTCATCGCTGAGATCATGCACTTTGTTCAACTTCGGCTTTAGACCGAGCTC